GGGTGCGGGTGCGGGTGGGGGTGCGTGTGCGTGTGGTTGTGTGTGTGTGTGTGTTTGTGTGTATGTTTGTGTTTGCGTGCGTGCCTGCGTGCGTGCGTGCGTGTGTGCACGTGTGTGTGTGTGTGTGTATGTGTGTGTGTGCGTGCGTGCGTGCGTGCGTTCGTGCATGCGTGTGTGCGTGTGCGTGTGCGTGGTGCGTGTGCGTGTGCGTGTGCGTGTGCGTGTGCGTATGTGTGTATGTGTGTGCGTGTGCGTGTGCGTGCGTGTGCGTGTGCGTGTGCTGTGCGTGTGCGTGTGTGCGTGTGTGTGTGTGTGTGTGGTGTGTGTGTGCGTGTGCGTGTGCGTGTGTGCGTGTGCGGGTGCGTGTGCGGTGTGCGGGTGCGGGTGCGGGTGCGGGTGCGTGTGTGTGTGTGTGTGTGTGTGTGTGTGTGTGCGTTGCGTGCGTGCGTGCGTGCGTGCGTGCGTGCGTGCGTTCTGTGTGTGTGTGTGTGTGCGGTGCGTGTGTGCGTGCGTGCGTGCGTGCGTGCGTGCGTGCGCGCGCGCGTGCGTGCGTGCGTGCGTGCCGTGCGTGCGTGCGTGCGTGCCTGCGTGCGTGTGTGTGTGTGTGTGTGTGTGTGTGTGTGTGCCGTGCGTGCGTGCGTGTGTATGTGTGTGTGTGTGTGGCCCGTGGCCCCGCCGCTCCCGCGGCCGCTGCCCGCTGCCAGCCCTGCCGTTCTGACACTGTCCAGCCAGGGGCTGGCCGTCTTCCCTTCTCTTCTCGTCCCGCCGACACTGCGTGCGCGCGCGGCTCCAGCCGTGCGGGCGCCCGACGCTCTGGCGAGTTGCCGGGCAGCAGCGACGTCTGTGCGTGTCTGTGTGTTTGTGTGTGTTGTGTGTGTGTGTGTGTGTGTGCGTGTGTGTGTGTGTGTGTGTGTGCGTGTGTCCGTGTGTGCGTTTGTGCGTGTGTGTGTGTGTGTGTGTGTGTGCGTGTGTGCGTGTGTGCGTGTGTGTGTGTGTGTGCGTGTGTCCCGGAGCCGCCTGCGTCCTCGCTGGGCCTCGCTGCCCTCCGGCATCCCGTTTTGCTCCGCGGGGCGGCGCCCCTGGCGCTGCTGCTACTGGTGCCTCCGTTTCGCTTGCGGGCTGCGGGTTTCGGTGGCCTCGGGGGCCCGCACGCTGCCTCCGCTTCCCGGTGGTTTCGGTGGCTTGCGGGCTGCGGGCTGCGCCGGCAGGGCCCCCGCTCTCTTGCCCCCTGCGCTGGGCGGTGCGCCTTGCCCGCGCTGCCGCCCTGCCGCCCCGCCCGTGGGCCCCACAGGTGGGGCGTCCTCCTCCCTGCTAAGTTTTTCCCCCCGTTCGTTTTCCCTCCTTCCACGCGCCCAGCTGTTCGCAGCGGCCGCCCCAAGCAGGCCGCAGCTGCCGCCCGCGCTGGCCCACCAGGCTTGGTTTTTGCCGCCCGCCGCCGACGCCCCAGCTTTTTGCTGGCAGCCACGCCCGTTCCCGCCCTGGGGCGGCCACTAGGCTTCGGCACTGACCGTTTTGCACCCTTGCCCCCTGGCGTGGTACCTACCCCCGCAATGCGCCCCGCCGCCGCCGGCCCCTTGTCGCAGCAGCCGCCGCAGGCCCGCCAGTTGGGCTGGCCGCGCCACACGCTCGGGGCGTGACCCGTTCCCTTGAGCGGTTTGCTCCCCCCGCCTCCTCTGCCCTTCCCCTCCCTCCTGCATGGTGGCACAAGTCGCTACAACGGTTTCCCCTGTCTAGGTAGCCCTTCCGCTAGCGAAGTTACCCTGCCGAGCCGCCGACGCAAATGTGTGTGTGTGTGTGTGTGTGTGTGTGCGTTTCTGTGTGTGCGCACGTGTGTAAAATTGTGCGTTTGCGCGTGCTTGCGTGTGTGCGCGCGTGTGTGTGAGTGTGCGTGTGTGTGTGTGTGTGCGTTTGAGAGGGAGAGGGAAAGAGAGAGATAAAGAGATAGAGACAGAGAGAGAAGGAGAGATACAGTGTGTGTGTGTGTGCGTGTGCGTGTGCGTGTGCGTGTGTGTGTGTGCGCGCCTGTGTGTGTGCGTCTGTGTGCGTGTGCGCGTGTGTGTGTGTGTATGCGTCTGTGTGTGTGTGGACGTGCGCGCGTGCGTGCGTGCGTACGTACGTGCGTGCGTGCGTGCGTGCGTGCGTGTGGATGTTCGTGTGCGTGTGCGTGTGCGTGTGCGTGTGCGTGTGTGTGTGTGTGTGTGTGTGTGTGTGTGTGTGTGTGTGTGTGTGTGTGTGTGTGTGTGTGTGTGTGTGTGTGTGTGTGTGTGTGTGTGTGTGTGTGTGTGTGTGTGTGTGTGTGTGTGTGTGTGTGTGTGTGTGTGCGGGCGCGCGCGCGTGTGCGTGTGAGTGTGTGTAAGTGTAAGTGTGTTTGTGTGTGTGTGTGTGTTTGTGCGTGCGTGCGTGTGCGTGCGTGCGTGCGTGCGTGCGTGCGTGTGTGTGTGTGTGTGTGTTTGTGTGTGTGTGGTTGGGTGTGTGCGTGTGCGTGTGCGCGTGTGTGTGTGTTTACGTGTGTGCGTGTGTGTATGCATGCGTGTGTGTGTGTGTGTGTGTGTGTGTGTGTGTGTGTGTGTGTGTGTGTGTGTGTGTGTGTTATGCATTCCTGGTCGCGCGCGCGCGTTCGCTGCGTTACGGTTTTTTTGGCCATGTCGCCACGCGTGGGACCCCGACGCCATATACTGCGTGTGTGTTTGTGTGTCCCCCCGCCGCGTGATCTGTGCGGGTTCGCCCGCGTCTCGTTCCCGCTCTACCTTGCGCGTGTGGCCGCGACGCCAAAAAGCGTGTGTGTGCGTTTGCGTATGCGTGTGTGTGCGTGTGTGTGTGTGTGCGTGTGTGTGTGTGTGTGTGTGTCTGTGTGTGTTCCTTCTGCGTGAGACAGCAGGGGCAGCCGGAGCCGAGCAAGCTTGTTGAGACACCGGCGATCCTGCGGCGCACACCACCTAGAAGGCCAGGACGGCCCCGATCCTTGCGATTACATGTAAGAGTGACCATTCGCCATGGTGACTTTCAGTGTTGGCCCCAAGGCGGTCGGGTGATTTTTCTTTCGGAGTGAGCTCAACATGGCGTCGACATCCGCATCGCGTGGTTGCGCTCGCATCAGAGGTCGCCACTTTTGGGCGCCCCGCTTGCAATCGACAGCGACGCATATGCGGAACACCCTGCAGTGTGCAGAGGTTTCCCGAGGGGGGGCTTGTCGAGTGGACGGCGCGTTTTCCAACCCAGGACCAGTCCCGAACCCCAGCCTCAATTCCAAGTTTCTCGGTTCGGATATTTTTTGGTATCTTTGGTTTTCACTGGGTATTCCTGAATATGTTTTAATATGTGTGTAAGTATCTGTTTGAACCACTGGGGGCCTTTAGTATTGCAGACTATCCAAAGATACCCAGTCATTTTCCAGGCCCGCGCATGGGGTCAGTTTTGACCATGACGCCAGATCTGGTCAGACGACATCGCGACGAGGCCCAGCAATGCCTGATCTCAACGCGGTGGCCCCCGCCAACGTCTGCTTGTGCACCGCCTGCGGAGTGCCATTCGGAGCGTTCGAATCCAATTGGCGGAATTCCGCGGATGCCCGCTGGCGCGAAACATCTTTCGAGGCGTGTCTTGTTGATTGTTGATTGTTGACGCGGCGCGGAAGAGCTGGCCTGCGCGGTTGCGTTGGGCCTCCACGAGAGCTCCTCAAGCCGCGCACCAAACGTTACTCCAGATTTCGTAATAAAGGGAGGGGGGTCTCATTTCGGGGGGGGGTGTCTTCCAAGCTACCTTGGAGGGCCTGGGGGGGTCTGGGGACGATGTTTTGGAGGGTTCTCCCACGGGGGAGGTCTGAAATGGCTTGTCTTGGAGGGTCCAGACCCCCTCCCTTTTATTGCGAAATCTGGAGTACTCAGGCTTAGGGCCACTCTTACGTAGTCCGCGCCCACGGAGAGGGGGGGGAGGGGGAGGGGAAGGGAGGAGAGGAGGAGGAGGAGAGGAGGAGGAGGAGGGGAGGAGGGGGAGGAGGAGGAGGAGGAGGAGAGGAGGGGAGGGGGGGGAGGGAGGAGGAGGAGGAAAGGAGGAGGAGGAGGTTTCGCCCTGCCCGTGCTCCCCCTGCAGCGCTGGGCGCCACACCGGCGCAGCGTCAGGCCCCGGCGCACCTGGAGGCGCACCCCTCAGGCCTCCTCCTCCCCCTCCTCCTCCTCCTCCTCCTCCTCCCCTCCTCCTCCTCCTCCTCCTCCTCCTCCTCCTCCTCCTCCTCCTCCTCCTCCTCCTCCTCCCCCCGCTTGCGGCGGCCGTGGCCCCCTCGCGGCCGCGCGCCCTCGGGGGCATTTTTTTTTGCGCACCCCCCGGGCTGGGGCCAGAAGCGACCGAGGCGTGGCTGGGCCAGACCCGCGGGTGCTTCCCCAGACATGCTGGCGCCGAGAAAAAGCAACGACGGTACGAATGGTTCGTGTCGTGTCGACCGGCGGCGACCCCGCCAGCGGCGTTCAACGTTGAATGCCGGCGGCGGCCCAGAATCAGTCGATGTTGAATTGTTGAACGACCTTGACGTTCCGGGAACGGCCGATCGTTCAAGGTTGAACTGTCCCCGCGGTGTCGGGAACCAACGCCGGGTCGACACGACACGAACCTGCCGTCTACTCTTGGCCGTGACCAGCCTCCAGGGGAGCTGCTCGCCGGGCACCGGGGCCGTGACAGAACGACTCGGGACAAAAAAATATGGGCCCGGTGGTGGAAGGGTCAGAACTTCCGGGGATCTCGTGCCGAAAAAATCGGTACGTCGGCTGTCTGTGGCTCCCCCCTCCCGCACGGCCCATTCACACGGAAGGCGCCACGTTGGCGGGCTTCTAGCAGCTCCTCCGTGCAAAAAGCGCCCTGCTCCTCAGTTTGGGGTAGTTTGCACATATTGGGAGGTTCGATTCAGTCACGATTGATCCCACGAAATGTCTGGCGCGAATTTTTGGGCCATGGTCTTGGCGCGCAGTGTCATCGTGTGCTCGCGCAGAGATGCGACATGTGCAAGGGCCATGGCCATTTGGGCGCAATCTGGTTCAGTCCAGCTAAGGCCGCGGCCCTCCGCGGTGCAGCGGCAACGTGCTGGCGTTGTGGCGCGATCGTTTGACCCTATCGACTCGGACCTCATCCCCAGACATCCGAAGCCTTCATGTATTCTATCCTGCATCCCCAGAGGCCCCGACCCTCTCGTCGTGGCCAGCTTTTCAATCCTTGGCCTGCTCCGACATTCGGGCCGGGCGAAAGGGGGGGATTGGGAAAGGGGGGGTCAAGAAATTTGCTGCATGCAGCTGGTTTCGGCCTCACCGAGGGGCCATTCCTCGATACATAGCCGCCTCCGGCGCCGGGAGGCGCCGGGAAAATCAGCCACGCGAGCTGATTTCCCCCCCCCCCTTTGCTATCCCCCCCTTTGGCCCGATCCGAGACAGGCCCGGGCCCAGCGAGACCCCCCGGAGCTCGACCACGCGGCAACAAGCACCCTCCCGAGCCGCAAGCTCCGTGCACGACGCGGGCACGCCCGGCTCCACCGCGTGCGCGGCGCAGCCGCAGCCGCCGCCGCAGCGGCCGCGGCCCCACCGCCGCCGGGCCGCGCCGCCGCGGCGAGGCCCGCCGCCGCGGCGCCCATATGGCCGCGCGGCGCTGGCAGCGCAGGGCCGCGGCGGGTCCACCCGCCGAGGCCCCGGCGGCGCCGCGGCCGCGGCGGCGCCGGCCGCCCGGGCCGAGCGCGCGGCGCCGGCTGGCCGCGCGGGCCGCGCGGCCGCGCGGCGAGGCCCGCCGCCGCGGCCGGGGCTGCGCCCGCGGCCGCGGCCGCGGCGGCGGCGCGGCCGCGGCGGCGCCGCCGGCCGCGGCGGCGCCGGCGGCCGCCCGGGCCGAGCGTGCGGCGGCGGAGGAGCGGAGCGGAGCGGCAGTGCCTCGCTCGGGGGTGCCCGTCGCGCTCGAGTCGGGCGCGTGTCCTCTCTGCGGGGGGAGCGGGGGTCCGAGAGGAGCCGGAGAAGCGGTCTGGGGACTTATGCTTTCGACCATGTTCGAGCACTGCTTGGCTATGTGTTCTGCTCTCTCCCCCTTCTGGAATCCGCCCGTAGGAGGGCATGCCCGACCCGAACGTCAAACGAGCAGCTGCCGGGGGGGGGGGGGGGCACCCAGTGCTGATGAGCACAACAGCCCCAAGGCGGCGGAGGAGGTCAGAGGAGGCAGAGGTAGTAACGATGCCAGGCCTCCCACATCCAAACAGGGTCTGAGCAGATGGGGTCGGAGGGTTGCACCGCGTCGCCGATGCATCGGTGATGGGGCTGGATGCGGAGCCCGATTTTCGCCGTGCCGTCGGCGGCGATGAATCGCCAACGTCGCCGATGCATCGGTCGGCAATGCGGCGCGTTCCTGTGACCCTGTCTACTCGGAGCCCATTTGGAAAGCTTATAGGTAAGGTCGGGAATGCTGGCTTAGCGTGTCGCGCCGCCATTTCTGGCACACCACCTTTTCGGCGACGCGCGATCCACGCCCTGGTACCCAAGCGTCAACGTCTTGAGATATGACGCTGGAGTTGTTTCTTGGCAGATTTTCCTGGATGCAGACGTTGTAGGCTCAGGGGTTTCGCCTTGTGGACGATGTGGCACAAGCAGCAGGTGGGAGGCTAAGTTTAAACCCGTGTTCTCTCTGCCCAGTCAGAAGAAAACAAGGGGAACAATTAGAGACACACAGACAACAAATTACCCCAGTGCGACCCTACCTAGAAGTTTGAGCCCATAGGAAAGCAGCATTCGTTGCTATGCTATGCTATGCTATGCTACGCCATGCTGTGCTGCGCGATGCTATGCTATTATATGCTATTATACGCTATGGTATGCTAAGCTATGCTATGATATGGTATGATATGATCTGCTGCGCTATGCTATGATTTGCTATGCCATACTATATTATGTCATGTTGCGCTGTGCTATACTAAGCTATGATATGCAATGCTGCGCTATGATATGCTATGTTGTGCTGTGCTGTGCTGCGCTATGATATGCTATGCTATGCTATGCTGTGCTATGAGGCGCTATGATATGCTATGCTATGCGATGCTAAAACATGCTATGGTATGCTGCGCTGTGCTATGTTATGCTAAGCTATACTGTGCTATGCTGTGCTATGCTATGCTGGGCTGTGCTGTGCTGCGCTATTATATGTTATGCTATGCTATGCTGTGCTGCGCTATGCTATGCTATGCTGGGCTATGCTATGAACTGCTGTGCTGCGCTGTGCTGTGCTACGCTCTGCTATGTTGTGCTCTGTTCTGCTATGCTAAAGCTCGGCGAAACTAAGATGAAGGTAAGCTAAGCTAAGATAAACCTGAGCTAAGACGAAGCTAAGCTAAGCTAATATGAAATAAGCTAAGCTAAGATGAGATAAGCAACGCTAAGCTAAGGGAACGTCACTGGGGGAACCGCATACAAAATCTCACTGCATCCAGCCTTTCTCATATTCCCGTCACGAGAAGCGGCGCGGCACGCCATCCGCTCGCGCGGCGCAGCGTGTCGCCGGGGCCGCCCGCCGCGGCACGCGAGAAACAATAGGAAGTTCCCGACTGTGAGCGATTCCGCCGCCCTGGTCTCGGTCTCGATTGTCGCTTCCGTGCATGACGGCCCAACTTCACTTGTGCAAGGCCAAGGGTGCATTTCCAGGCGCACGACAAGGACTTCAACGCGGGTGCGCCTTTCACGCGCACATTATGTGGGGTCAGGTGGCTCACACCCCTGGGCCGTGGACAGGCAATGTTCGGGGGGCACTTGGTGTAATCGTGTAGTCTTCCGAGGGGCCGATTCGGTCAAGAAAGCGGGCTGGGCCGTTACTTCCCTGCATGACAGCTTGTTCTCGTTCGCTCAAGGCCAAGGTTGCTGCCTCTGCAGGCTTAACCAGTAGACCTGGTAGTCTGAAGTCCAGCATTTACGTTACATTTTCGGGGGACCTCGCTTGCCCCCAGAATTGGTGTCTTTTCTTGTGCCCAACACGGACTCGGTGCGGACTCGACGCGGGCTTAGCGGGGATCCGACGCGGATTCGGCACGGCTTCGACACGGATCCGAAGAGTCCGACTTGGTTTCGACACGGATTCGACGCGGATAGGGGCGGGGACGGGACAGGCAAGGTCCCCCGAGGATGCAACAGAACAGCATTGAGGAAACGGATTGTCGTTCTCGACGTCGTCGGCTCCGCCGAAAGCGAGGCGCCTCAGGTCTGAGCAATAGCCGTCAGGGCGCCTCGCTGGCGTGCGCCCCCAGACCAGAGCCCGACAGGGTTGCCACAGATGCGTTCCATGTTGTGAAACTGTGTCTCTAAAGGTGGCTGGTCTATTGCTTGTTCACCTGTGTGGGCTCCTGATATCCTGGCGCTGCACACGTTTCGCACCGCGCGTTGTTGCTCGGTGTCGGGCCCCGCACACCGTCACAGGTAGATCCGTCTCGGATCACGCAGGAGAAAGATGAGGTCGATCGCTCTGCTCGCGATGTTTCGCCATGTTGCATCTCTGTTGGTGACGTCCGTCGGATGTTACGGTGCCCTGTTTGCGCCTTCTGGGGCCCTTCTGGAGGCCCTCTTCGCCACGGCTGAATTCGCCGGGAAATCCTGGTGTTACCGGTGCCTTTTCGTTTCCCCAGAGTGGAGAGAACGGTGGACGCAGCTCGGAAGATCCAGGAGGCGATTTGGAGCTGCCGTTGCCTCACTTCGCCCTGGTCCGAGGAAGTGCGTGCGCTGCTGCCGCCGGTGGTGGGCGACGCCGGAACTCTCGACGTTGCTAGGCATGATGGGCCACTTTTCCACCACCACTGGGGAGAAGGGAGGATGGGGAGGTCCTCCTCCTCCTCCTGCTCCTTCTCCTCCTCTTCCTCCTCCTCCGTCTCCTTCTCCTCTTCCTGCTCCTTCTCCTCCTCCTCCTCCTCCTCCTCCTCCTCCTCCTCCTCCTCCTCCTCCTCCTCCTCCTCCTCCTCCCCCCTCTCCTACTTGTGGTAGTGGTGGTGGAGATCAGCCTATCAAGGCACGCGGTTGTTTGGCGCCCCGAGCGCCGCTCGGAGGACTCCTGGGCCAGCGCTGCCGCCGACGCGTTCCGCGGCGCGGGCTTCGTGGTAGTGCTGGGTGCGCTGTCGGAGGCATCCAGGAAGACAAATAGTACACTCCAGATTTCGTAATAGAGGGAGGGGGGTCTCATTTCGGGGGGGTCTCTTCCAGGCTGTCTTGGAGGGCCTGGGGGGGTCTGGGGACGATGTTTTGGAGGGTTCTCCCACGGGGGAGGTCTGAAATGGCTTGTCTTGGAGGGTCCAGACCCCCTCCCTTTTATTATGAAATCTGGCGTAAGCACCTGTGTTCGAGCTCCGCGGGTTTCTTGCACCTGCGTCGGACCCCCCCGGTGGCGCCTCCTGCGCCGCCTCTGCTCGCCTCGCGCGTCAGGGAGGGGGTCCTGGGGTGCCGAGTCGAGAAATCTGCGCAGAACTCCGACCGTTTATGTTGGCGTTGTTGCTTCTTCCTCCCAGAGGAAGCCTGCGAGGAAGTCCTGCGCGCATGCCACGACATGGAGCGAGAGATGTTGAGGCTCAGCATCGTCTAACCTTAAGTCGGGCATGTCGCTCTACAGGAGGAATATGCATCAATTTCCAACTTTCTTTGAATGTTTTGACTACTTGTAACTGTTCTTCCAAAATCTGCCTGCAGGCGGACATGCCCGACCAAAGTCTAACCGATCCCCACGGCCACTGGTCAATGGTATCTCAGCTTCGCCAGTGCAACCTCGTCCAAGTGGGGACAGGCGTTGCGAAACCCGAAGGCACTTATTATCCTCACCAGGGTGGGTATGTCGGCCCTTGGGGCCAATGCTACGCCTGTGGTCGAGGAAGAAACCATTGCAGGAACATGCAGTCAACCCGCATACAAAAGGATAAGCAACCTTCCCAAGAGTACCCTTGCATCCTTGCCCCCTCGTCCCATCCCTAGCGACTTTCGCCGGCCAACCTCGTTCGAAACATGCTAACGTGGCCCTCCAAGGCCCTTGCATGCTCACCGCGCAGCCTTATGATACGGGTTGGCTGTAAACTCGGAGTTCCCTGGCACACGGAGCTCGCCAGAAGCAGGCGCCCGAGGCGCCATCAGCGGGGTCCAGCCCCGAGCCAAGAAGTGCTCGCGGATATCCGAAAGTGCATGTTTACGCAACTGTTCTTTTTCGTCTAGGTGGGGGACAGGAGGACAGCGCCGCCCACCACCATTAGAGGTAGTGGTGGGCTGTGCTTTCCTCATATCCCGACCTCGCGATCAAGGTCTCCTGGCTGGGGGGTGAGGATACTTTTGCTGGGCCCCCCCACGAGCACCAACAAAAACACCGCCACCCCCAGCCAGGACCCCTCCTCCTCCCCCTCCATCTCCTCCTCCTCCTCCTCCTCCTCCTCCTCCTCCTCCTCCTCCTCCTCCTCCTCCTCCTCCTCTTCCTCAGTACATGGCTCGCCCAAAAATACTGCACAGAGGCACGACCCGGAGCGACTCGGCTGCCGGGACCCGGGCCGCTACAGCTTCGGCGCCGCCGCGCAGTCCGGCGCCTTGCTGCACCTGCCGGCGTGGCGCCACCTGCTGGACTGCGAGGCGGTGCTGGCCGTGCTCGACGCGGCACCCGCTCGAAGAGTCGGCGGCGACGTCCGAACCTCCCCCTCGCCGATCCACGATGCCAACAATTCGATCCTCCGCCTCCTCCTTCTTTGACGGCGGGGGTGGGGTTCGGAATTCGTCGAACATGTGGCGTGATCCGAGCCCCACCCCCGCCACCCATCGATTGACGAGAAGCGATGGTCGGTGCCTCCAGGGTTCGAATGCCGCCACCTGGGCAGAACAACTGCATACACATCAACTTTCGGAGGTCCGCGCGGAGATCCGAGACTTGATGTTTATGGCGTGTTTTCTTTGTCAAGGCACTGCCTGCTGGGTGGCACTTCACTGGCGGCGAGCTTGTTTTTTATTCCCTAGGGGGTAACGTTACGCCCCCCTGCCCTCCTGCCCCCCCTCCCGTAATTCAGAGGAGGAACGGCTTCCGATACCTCTACCATTCCCTCGGTTTCGCCTTTTGGGGCCTCCTTGGAGCCCCCCCCGTCGTCACGGCTGGATTCTCCTTGGAATTTTGGCTAGAGCGCACCTCTGGGAGAGGTCTGGGGAGCAGCGGCATCGTTGTCGGTACCTTGGTTTCCCTATAACATACGTTAACCCCCTCCCCTCCTTATTCTCCTCTCCTCCTCATTCTCATCCTCCTCCTCCCTCCTCCTCTTCCTCCTCCTCCTCCTCCTCCTTTTCCTCCTCCTCCTCCTCTTGCCCTCCTCCCCCTCCTCCTCCTCCTCCCCCGTCTCCTCCTCCTCCTCCCCCTCCTCCTCCTCCTCATCATCATCCTCCCTCCTCCTCCTCCTCCTCCTCCTCCTCCTCTCTACTCCTCTCCTCCTCCTCCTCCTCCTCCCCCTCCTCCTCCTCCTCCTCCTTCTTCTCTTGCTCCCCCCTCCTTATCCTCCTCCTCCTCCTCCCTCCTCCCTCCTCCTCCTCCTCCTCCTCCTCCTCCTCCTCCTCCCCTTCCCCCCTCATCCCACCTCCAGTACGACGGTCGCTGTTGGAGGGGGGGGGGAACGCGCTCCACGCCTCACAGTCGCAGGCGTGCAGTGGCGCCCGCGCAGGCTATTGCGGTGGCCATCTCCTGTAGCCATGCAGGCGCCAGTTTTGGGAGCCTTTTTGTTGGCCCGCTTGGGGCCCTCGTGCAAAATTGCATCGGCGAGGCGCGCAAATCGCGCCGTTTCGCTGCGTTCGATGCTGCCAGAGAGTGGCTTTAAACTTGGCCTCCGTATTGTGCAGTGCTGCGCCCGTGGGTTATTTTTCATCGCGGTGCCCGTGCCCACGCGCTGGACGGCGTCTGACTCTGTCTGCTTGTGGTCCTAGCTCGTGATGCTGTTCTGGGGCGATCTCGGGCCCCAATGGCCCCAAAAGGGATGAAGGCTTTCCTGGGCGTCCCCCCCCCCTCGGAGGCAGACGCGCTTGCTCTTGGGACGCTCTTGGGCGCTCTTGGGGCCGTCGTGGCGGCCTCTTGGGCCCCTCTCGGGGCTCTCTTTGGCCATCCTGGGGAAATCTCGAGGCCTCAGAGGCCCGTCGGGAGCGAAAGGTCAGAAGGCAACAAGAACATTGAGAGTACCTTCCAAATGGGAGAATGTTCGTATCTTGGGGTGTGCCTTCGAAGTCTCGGAGGGCACTTGGAACTGTCTTTGGCCTGTCTTGAAGGATCTTGGAGGTGTGCCGTAAACCGCAACATGTAAGTATGTTGGGCCATCTCGGAGGTCATCTTGGGCTGTCTTGCGCCCTCTTAGGCCCTCTTAGGGCGCCCTCGAGGGCGCGACCGATTCCTACTCGTCCCCCTCTTCTTTCCTGGGGGGGCCGCGCGAGAGCGCGAAGTTATTCGCGCTTCTTGCAGCGCGAAGCGCGAAGTTAGGCGCCCTTGGTTACACGCCGGTCGTTGAAGGTAGCTGTTTTCGAAATCCCAGATCCCAGTCTACTTCAAGCGCCTTCCCACTTCAAGCGTTGATCTGTTTTTGCTGCGTGTTGTGATTCTCTGGGGGGACCAGAGCCCGATCTACTTTAGCCGCCTGCCTGCTTCATGTTTTTCCATGTTTGACATGAGTGTGAACATTATGTTTTTCGACGCGCTTATTCTTGCCCCTTGGGAGTTTCCGAATCCCGGACTAGCCTCGCTCTGGCTGAGCGCCTTGGGCCTATACAGTTTCGGACTCGCTCCCTTCCGTCCTGCTTTACCCGCCTTCCTACTTCATATCCGCCTTCCTACTTCACATGTGTTTGCATGCTTCTTCCGACTGGCGTGTATTCGCGATGTGCGCGAAGTTGGGCGCCTGATGGCTACCCTCGGAGGTTGAGACAGACCTCCTACCCTGACGCGTCGATGAGCGAAGTGGCCGTTTTCGGCTCGCGAGGGGGCGCCGGCGGCCGTCTTTTTTGCGGGCCCGGGTCCGTCGGGTTCGGTCCTGGGCCGTGCTCACCAAAGGGAGGTTGTCTGGAGGGAGGTCTGTCCACCGCCGGTTGCCCCCGGGGAATAGCAGAACGCTCTTGGCGGCGGCGACTTTGTCCGCGGGGGCACCGAGAACTTCCAGGCGCTCCACTCCGATCTCGGGCCCTCGCGCGTGCCGCCCGGGCAGCGCGCGGACTGGCCGCCGCCCAAGGTGGCGGTCAACTTCTCCGTGCAGCGCATCGACACGGCCGCCTTCGGGCCGATGCGCGCGCTGCCGGCCCGGAAGACGCTGGAGCTCGGAGGGAGAAGTCGGAAGGGGCCATGCTGTTCGGGCCGAGCTTCCGCGCCATGGGCGAAGTCGGGCGTGTCCCCCTACAGGGGGATCTTCGACGAAAACTCAAAGCAAATACCCCAAGGATGCCCCAAAAAGGTAGAACAGAAATAACAAAAAAGAGCCCCCTGACTATGTTTGGACTATGTGTGGATTATTTTGGGGGTATTTTTTTATTTTTCGCCGAAAATCCCCCTGTAGGGGGACAGGCCCGACTTGCTACAGTGGCCGAGAGTCGGTCCAAGTCGGTGCTCTCGCCTCGGCGCGGGCAGCGCACCGAGGAAGAGAGAGATCGGGCGGGGCCACAGGACGAGGACAAGGGTGACTCCGTGCCGGAGCGGTGCGGGGCCACAGGACGAGGACAAGGACGACTCCGTGCCGGAGCGTTGCGGAGCGCTCCCCTCGGAGCGTTCCGGAACGCTCCGAGAAGGCCGCGGCGCCCGAGGCATCTTCCAGAGCCGCCGGGTCTCAGCGATGCTCGGGGTCTTGTGCGCACCCGGTGTTGTCCTCGTCCTGGCTTCGTCTTCGAGAGAAAGAAAGGTGCAGGAGCGGCGAAGCGCCCTGACCTGCCCATCGGCTACCAAAGGATGCCCGAAGAGCCTCTTGTTTGGTTCGCACGTGATGTCCTCCGAACACTTCTGATGAATGACGTATCGCCTGGCTACGTTGGATGTATGTTATAAAAACCTTGTTTTTGTCACGAGACCATTCTTTTGTTCCAAGGACATCTGAAAGAGCGCGCCCGTACGGAACTCAATACTAAAAGGGGGGACCCAGCTTCAAGCTACCCACCCTTCCTTCGAAAAGGGGGGGAGCTTCCGAAGCTACCCCCCTTCCCCTTTTTTTTGGAAGCATTTTTGAGCGGGGGGGGCCCTGGCTAAAGAGGGGGGGGCTTCGAAGCTACTCCCCCCCTTCCTCCCTTTTCAGGGCCAGAGGTAAGCCTGGGCTCCCCTTTATAAGGGGGGGGGCTTCCGAAGCTACCCCCTCCCCCTCCCTTGTGGAAGCATTTGTGAGCTAGGGGGGCCCTGGCCAAGGGGGGGGGGGCCGTCGAAGCTACCCCCCCCTCCCTCCCCTTTTCGGGGCCAGAGGTCAGCCCGAGCTCCCCTTTCTAAACGGGGGGGGGCTTCCGAAGCTCCCCCCCTCCCTCCCTCCCTTACCGGAGCCAGAGGTAAGCCCGGGCTCCCATTTCTAAAGGGGGCAGGGAGCTTCGGAAGCTGACCCTGGTTCGTTTTTTGTTTTCTCGGCCCCTGGATCGTTGTCCCGTTTTCTCGGACCCTGGTTCGGTTTCTCGTGTCCTCCGTTTCTCGGCCCCTGGATTGTGGCTCTGTTTGCTCTGACCCTGGTTCGTTTTCTCGTTGTCTCGTTTTCTCGGCTCCTGGATCGTGGTCTCGTTTTCTCGGGCCTTGGTTCGTTTTCTTGTTTTCTGGTCGTCTCGACCCCAGGGTCGTGGTCTCGGTTTCTCGGGCTCCGGTTCGTTTTCTCGTTTTCTCGTTTTGTCGGCCCCTGGGTTTTTGTCTTGTTTTCTCGGACCCTGGTTCTTTTTCTCGTTATCTTGTTTTCTCGGCCCCTGGGTCGTGGTTTAGTTTTCTCGGACCCTGGTTTGTTTGATCGTTTTCGCGTTTTCTTTGCCCCTTGGTCGTGGTCTCGTTTTCTCGGGCCCCTTTTCGTTTTCTCTTCAACTCGATTCTTGGGTCGTGGTCTCGCTTTCTCGGGCCCCGGTTCGGTTTCTCGTTCTTTGCCCCTGGGTCGTGGCTTGGTTTTCTCTGGCCGTGGTTCATTTTCTTGTTTTTTCGTTTTCTCTGCCCCTGGGTCGTGGTCTCGTTTTCTCTGACCCTGGTTCGTTTTCTCGTTTGCTCTGCCCCTGGGTCGTGGTCTCGTTTTCTCCGGCCCCGGTTCGTGTTCTCGTTGTCTCGTTTTCTCGGCGCATGGGTCGTGGTTTGGTTCCCTGGATCCTGGTTGGCGTTCTCGTTTTCTTGTTTTCTCTGCCATGGGTCGTGGTTTCGTTCTCTCGGACGCTGGTTTGTTTTCTCGTTGCCTCGTTTTCTCGGCCCCTGGTTCGTAGTCTCGTTTTCTCGGGCCCTGATTCCTTTTTTATCGTTTTCTCGTTTTCTCGGCCCCTGGGTCGTGGTCTCGTTTGCTAGGACCGATATTCGCGTTTTCTCGGCCTGGGTCGTGGTCTTGTTTGCTCGGACCTTGGTTTGTTGGATAGTTTTCTCGTTTTCTCTGCCCCTGGGTCGATATGTTGTTTTCTCGGACCCTGGTTCATTGTATCGTTTTCTAGTTTTCTCGGCTTCTGTGTTCTTGTTTCGTTTTCTCGGGCCCTGTTTCGTTTTCTCGTTTTTCTTGTTTTCTCTGCCCTTGGGTTGTGTTCTCGCGTTCTCGGGCCCTTGTTCGTGTTCTAGTTGTTCGTTTTCTAGTTGTCTCGTTTTCTCGGTCCCTGGGTCGTGGTCTCGTTTTCTCTGGCCTTGGTTCGTTTTCTTGTTTTCTGGTCGTCGCGACCCCAGGGTCGTGGTCTCGTATTCTCGGACCATGGTTCGTTTTCGCGTTTTCTCTGCCCCTGGGTCGTGGTTTCGTTTTCTTGGACCCTGGTCCGTTTTTGCTGCGCCCTGGTTGGTTTCTCGTTTCCTCGGCCCTTGGGCCGTGGTCTCAGTTTCTCGGACCCTGCTTCGCTTTCTCGTTTTCTCAGCCCCTGGGTCGTGGTCTCGTTTTCTCTGACCCTGTGTCGTCGTCGTCGTCGCCGTCGTCGTCGGTCGTCGGTCGCGCGTCATCCGTCGCCCGTCGCCGTCTTCGCATGACCTCGTCGTCCTCGTCGTGACCATCACGGCGAGGTCATGCGAAGACGACGACGACGAAGGAGGGGAGGGCGGGGGTAGCTTCCAGCAGCTGGGATCCAAAGGGGCGGGGAGTAGCTAAGGCCCCCCCCTCCTTTGGAAAGGGGGGGAGGGGGGGGGGTAGCTTCCGGAGCGGCAAAGGGGGGGGGGGGAAGAGGGGGAGGAGGGAGCTTCCGGGGGGGGGGCCAAAAAGGCGGGGAGGACGGGAGGGGGTAGCTTCCAGCAGGGGGGGGGCCAAGGGGGGGGTAGCTAAGGGAGAACCCCCCCCCCCTTTGCGAGTTCCGCGCGCGCGCGCGCTCTCGGACATCCTGTGACACTCCCACAGGGAAGGCCTGGACGGCCGGGCCCTGCCCGGCAAGCATCGGCGCTCGCAGCCCCGCGCGGAGGTTCTCGGGTCTGCGCTGGACCCTTCTTTCGGTAGCAGATAACCCAGACACCCTCGCGTTTTGTGAAAAAACACGACAACACTTGTTCCTTATTGTCGGCCTCCGGGGGCCCTTCCCGGGCCTCGGGACCGTTAAAAAACGACTCGGGATGAAAAACCGGTCCCGGGGAAAGGGTCCAGACCGCTGGGGGTCGACGTTGTAAGAAAATCACGACGTCGGGGGTCTGGGAATGGGAGCCTGGTATACCCGTTTTAACTCCGTCTGTAGCGTCGATTAGCGTCTGAGATCGATGAGGTAGCGCCGATTTAGCTTCGGCTAGCGATCAGCGTCGATTTTGCGTCGACGAGCGTCGAGTCGCAAGAGCCGACAGGATGGCATGGGAGGCTCCCGTGAGTGGCCACCGACTCCGGCGCCGCGCCGATCCGAGAGATCCGCGCGGAGATCCGAACACGTTTCTGCTTCTGCGGTGTCTGCTTCCCTCCTCCTCCTCCTCCTCCTCCTCCTCCTCCTCCTTCTCATCCTCCTCCTCCTCCTCCTCCTTCTTCCTCCAGGAGCTGGGGCAGCAGCCGCCGCCCTTCGCGGGCGAGAGCGACCACTCGCGCCGCAGCACGCTCTTCCCGCTGCCGGCCGGCGCGGCCGTGCTGCGCGACCTGCGGGTGTGGCACGGGGGGACCCCCAATCTGACCGCCGAGACGCGGTTCTCGAGGGAGCGCAAGTACGGATGAGCGACGCGTGGGGGGTCGAAGAAGAGAAGACGGCAAACACTGCATGTTTTGGCACTCCGCGTGGATTTCTTGGATCCGCGTTGGGCCCCCCTCCTGGCGGCGCCTCCAGCGCCGCCCCTGGCGCGCTCCGCGCGCCAGGGAGGGTGGTCCAGCGCGGATCCCGTTTGTCTCTTCTTCTAGATTAGCGGCGGGTCCCGTTTGTGTGACGAATTGGCGCGCTCCGTCGCCAAATGCGATCCTCACCCGAGCCAGCGTGGGCGTCGACATTGGATCCCTGATCTTTCCCGCTTTCGCTCGTGGGGCTGTCTTTTGCAAGTGGCGTCGGGTGACCTTGCCGTCACGGCCCCAGGGGATTTCATTATCTATGCCTCTGCGGGGGTGCCGTCCACGATCGGTGGACCTCGCGCCCGCGCGCCAAATTCACAGACCCGTACAGTCAACCCGTATGTTAAGGATGAGCAGTTTTCCCAAGGGTATTCTTGCATCTGTGCCCCTTCGGCCCATCCTAAGCGTCTTTCGCTGGCCAGCCTCTTTCGGAATACATTCACATGGGCCTCCAAGGCCCTTGCATCCTTATCGTGCATCCTTCTGATACGGGTCGACTGTACTTTGAGACCCGCTCATGTTCGGGCAGGTCGCCGACGTTGGAGCGGGTATTGAGCGACCCCTTCTTGTCCGCAGCCTCGTTCTCCTATTCCTTCTCACTCGCCCCTCCTCCGCCTCCTCCTTCTCCAGGTCCTCCTCCTCCCCCTCCTCCTCCTCCTCCTCCTCCTCCTCCTCCTCCTCCTCCTCCTCCTCCTCCTCCGTAAGCTCCTCTGGGCCCGGGCCATTTTGGCGGGGTCACCAGGGACTCCTCGCCCCCTTCCTCGCCCCCTCC